TTTTACTAGTTTTATCGAATTGTCAATATACTGGTATAATATAATAGCAATAACCCCCGCCGAAGTTGGGTATACCACTTGATATTGCACAATTCACTCCATATATGCACTCGCCTGCGGCTCGCATATATGTCGTGAATTGTGCAATATCTCGTGGTATACCCGCCTTCGGCGGGGGTTATTGCTTAAATACTTACCAGGTATCCAATAGTGGATGTTCCAAAGTCCAGCAATAATCTAGTAAGTAATACTTACCAGGTATCCAATAGTGAATGTTACAAAGTCCAGCAATAATCTAGTAAGTAATACTTACCAGGTATCCAATAGTGGATGTTCCAAAGTCCAGCAATAATCTAGATAATAACAATAGCAATGCTGGAGGCGCCGAACTCTTATCACCACTACCATCACACAGATCCTAAAACCAAGATATTATCACAAGTAAGATTGATTTAAAACTTTATTCAAGTGTAAAATATGTTCAGTATACTGTAGAATACTTTATTTTCGCTTGGAATTTATTTTTGCTATTTTCGCTGAAGGGATGTTTCCGTGAAAATAAAATCCAGCGAATATATCTTTTTTCCTATATTTCACATTAAACGCATCAAAAATCAGTGAAAATAAATTCCATACAAAATGCCCAAAAAGCCTTTTCAGCGAAAATTAATTCCAGCGAAAATAAAGTATTCCACAGTAATATGTAGATCACACACCTGTGCTATTGAATTAATGTGTCTTATGAAGCCAACAACCAATCCTTCTCGTACATCTCTGTTACAGAACGAACCACGGAAATAGGGAGTATGGGCAAAAGTGATGTCATTGGCAATAAAGGCCTGTAAAGGAAAAGAAAAACTTAATTAACAGACCATTGAAATGTCAGCCTTGATATGCTTCTTTTTGATCAAGTGCATTGATCAAGTTTGAGCCAACTTTAGTCAAAATGCAAAAAACAACAACAGGACATACATGAGGCACCCAAGATATAAAAACATCATACCAAGTTTAAACAAATCAAGTATGTCCAAAAATGTGCATTTGTTTCTTTTTAAATGGCTGCCAGTCGACCAGCTTTGATTGGAATGTGACATAGACCAAATTTCATTGATGTGATAAAATACATTCACCTGTGGACTAAGTTTGAACCTACCTGGGCAGTAAAAATTTGAGATATAAGCAGAATTGAGCAAGAACAGATGAAAACTGGCTGCCGGTCAACAACCTTAGATTGGATGAACACAGATGAACTTTCATTGATGTTCTAGAATACAATTGTCTGTGCACTGAGTTTGATCCTAACCAGGCAGCGACAACATAATTGTCCTTGAAAACTTAAATTCAATGAAAACATCTTTTCCTAATAGGGCAAAGGTCAAAATAATTTCTAGAATTGGCATGAGTTAATGAATGTGAATAGCCTGCAAATGTGACAAAGAACAAACATAATTAAACCAAGCTTTATTTTCATCAAAAATCTTTAAATCAGTTACACAGATTGGCACTGTAAAATGATCAGATCTGTATTTGAAACAAAATTACAGCTGTTAATTAGGAGATCCAAGTCAATATAAACTGAGATTAGTTCATACTTACTTGTAAGTTGGCTAACACTTGTTTCAGTTGATCAACTATTGACAAAGCCATGGTATTTAGGAGATCTGACAGATTTGTTCCATCTTGTTTAGCAAGTAATCTTGGAGCACACAAAGACTGTCTGGCATCAGTAAGTGTGTCTGTAAGTATAATGGTGATGTTGTACATGTATGCCTTCTTTCACTCACTTGTTAGAAAAACCCTATATTAAGGCACTAGATTTTAAGTTTCAGTTGTGAAGTTTAAATTGTATTGTCAGCAAAATTTTGAAGGTTTAGGCATGTCATATGTGTACTGTTATAAATGTAACAGCCACGGTACTCGCAAGATCATAAGTTTCTTGCCAACAGTGAAACACCGAGCAATTCAGTGGATTAGATTTATTAGACCATATTTAATGAGCATAGCCTAGTAAGCATCAATAAAGACTATTCATCTTCCATGGGACAGTTGTGGTTTGTTATTTGTAGTGTATACATTAGCTCTTGGTGCAGAGTTTAGAATTTAAACAGCTTATACATAACATAAACGTAACTATAACAACCTTGCCCATCAAAAATCTAGATCAAAAAAGAAATGAATTGATAGATACAAACAAATGATACTGACATGATCTTTTCCTTGCATGACAAAAGATCGCATTTCAAAGGTTGTGTTTCTAGCACACACCTGAAGTGGAATTCAAACAGCAATGCATGATGGGATTCATTGTAGAAGACAAAAAATAACTTAAAGTGCCTGTGAAATGGCTGCTATTTTCACGCATAAAATTATCCATTGATACATAAATATTATTAATTTTCATGTTTCTAAGCATGAATTATTTTTTTAAGTGAAAAAATGTGTTTTAAACTCAATCTACGGCAACTTTATTTTTGTGTATTTTAAAACGAGACTCCTCATTAGCTTCTTATTTGCATACAGAAATTCCCCTTGTGACGTCAGAAGGGGAAGTCGCATGGCAGCTTGCACTGCCGATACGTGTAAATATGGCAAATTTCTTGCGCAGTTTTCTCGTCTTTGACTAAATTATCACTTATGTACTTGTTCGTCGAAGAGGAAAGGACCATAATAAACACATATAATCAATTTTTGTTGCATGGGGTTGAGTTAGATGCGAAATATGTCCGTTCTGTTGTAGCTGGTCACCGTGATCGTCACCGGCGCACGTTTGTACACTGTCGCTGGACAAAATAGGTTACTAGGCACATCACTACACTGTTTTATTTCATGGATCGTCTGAGTAAAACTTTCAAAATTAAAATAAAAGAGAACATATTTTGACATTCTAAACATTAGACTATAGTGATCACTAAAAAATAATTTAAAAAATGACAAATCACAGTTACTAAATAAATGACAGCAGCGTGAAATAAATTGAAATTTTGTTGAATAGTGAACGCGTCGGGTCACGACGAGGGCAAGTGCGTTAAAGCGGCGTTTAATTGGATAACAAAAATAATC